GAGTGGAGAACTTACTTTAGAAAAACTCCAGGGAAGATTTGAGAATTTTGCTTCCAGCAAGATCCTTAACTTTGCTCTTGGGAGGAGTATTTGAGAGAAAATGAGAGAGACAGAAGTGTGGAAATCTAAAACTCCTCCACCTACGTTGCATTAAGAGAATAGGAGAAAAAAGGGGGGGGGGGAAACTTAGATGCATGGATATCTGGTGGTCCAAGCATTGATATTTGGTGGGTAAAGCATGGGATACCGTGATTTGCATGGGAAACGGAAGATTACATCAAATCACAAGGTCAAACCTTTTTTTGTCCTTATCTTGATTTTAGGATAGAATCTTCATAAATCCTAAATTTTATTTTATGTAAATATGATTTAAATAATCATATTTGGCATAAAATATAGGTTTTAGGGGTCTAAGTTAAGAAAAATACGAGTTTGGTGGGATTCCCGACGTCAAAATGCCTTAAAATGACGAAAAAGTCTGAAATGGACAAAAATCCGGAGTGTAGCATGGCTCCTGCGAGGGTCCGAAGGGCTGAGGGAAGTTCCGGAGCCCCTCTTCAAGGTTCCGGAGGTATTGGGCGACATCTGAAGTCAAGTGATAATTTTCGGAGTCAAATGATAATTTCCGGAGCCAAGCCATGAATTCCGAAGCATATCCTTGGTTCCGGAGCGGGTCAACAGCTTCCGAGATGCGAGACTTTTCGGGGCGAAGTCTTCCCAATGCGCGCGAGATAGTCCAAAGCGAGCATTCCGGATCTAAACTCTTCCGGAGTGAAGGAAGTTTCGAAGTGCACAAGGTCTGGAGCATGCGGAATTGTCCGGCTGAGAAGGTTCCGAATCAGAAGGTTCCGGACCAAGAGGGTCCTTTTGGGGTTTCTCCTCCGGTTTTGGGCTATTTTCGACTGAGGAAGGTACGTAGAGAGATTTGGGAGAGATTCCACATACTTGGAGAGATTTGGGAGAGATTTCATATTCTTGGAGAGATTTGGGAGAGATTTCACATACTTGGAGAGATTTGGGAGAGATTTCACATACTTGGAGAGATTTGCATTCTATCTTTTCATGGTCCATTAGGAACCATAAAGTACACTTTTAATGTGTTAGCACAAGTCTCACAATAGTTATTGCTTTCATGAGGACGGAATTTCCTAGCCAAAATGCTAGTTGTGACAAAAAAGGAGGTGACTTCTAGGCCTGGATTCAACAATCAACTCTTCACAACATCTTCTTGTGCATCTTCTGGACTCTTGTAAGTCCCCAAGTTCCAATCTTTTTTTCGTTTAAAGTGCATAGATCTAGGTTTATATGCCTTAATTTTCATGTCCTTGATTATTGGGTGATGAGATCTCATAGAGTTTTCAACTTTATGAATCTCCATGTCATTTTGGACCTTAGATGATTTGGATCTGGAATAACATTGAGTTTTACCATCATGCATGGAAGATTTGGCCAAAATCCTCATTTTGACCTAATGGAGTCCACGAGATGCATTATACATGCATTTCAAGAAAGTAAGGATTTTTATGTTGTTATTTCATGCTAGAAACGTTGTGGAAATTGGGATCTAGTTGTCTTCAAGAGAAAGTGCTTAATGGGTTAAGTTAAGCTTTGTTCTTCCCCTTTTAGGTTTAGAAATGTGGATCTCTATCCCTTAGAGAGTCTAAAGGGGTAAACTTAGAAACTTTATCCACTTAGACCTTAGAATGGACCAGATCTGGACTTTGGAGCTCTTAAGATCAAAGAAATCAACTTAATCAATTAAGCTGTTTGGGAGCTCAGTGATCACGGCGTGGTCAAGGTCCCCACGGTGTAGCGGCTGGGCTAAGTCTCGACTGTATTGTCATTTAGTAGCCACGACGTGGCCAAGGATGGTCACGACGTGGCGACCTGCTTTAGTTGACTTTGACTTTGACTGTTGACTTAAGGACATTTTGGGTATTTTGAGTGGTATTTGAGGATGGTCACTATTTGATGAATAGTTGACGAGTAGAGCTAAGATTCGGAGCAGAGACCTATTCAACTATTTGTTCAGACCGAGAGGTGAGTTTTCCTCACTGTAGTTATGCGTCGAAGGCACCAATACCGACCCATTGGATTAGATATCTTGATTTGTTGTATGTTGTTGTTATGCGGAGATATGTGGTTACTCGTTATGTGATTAGATTGGTAGATCTGTAGGACTGCCTATGTTTTGTTGTTTATTGATTGATAATGTTTATATCAATATGTTATGGTTACTGGGTTGAGGCAAACTAGCTGGTGCTGAAGGCCAAGATACCCAGGGCGGTCCGGACAAACTAAAGGACTACGGAGCGGCCCAGTCAGGCTGAAGGCCCGAAGAGCGATCCAGATAGGCTGAAGGCCCGGTGCGGCAGTCTAGTCATGCAGAAGGCTATGTATGCATGTTGTTGTTTGTTATGTTATGTGGTGGTACTTTGGGGGAACTCACTAAGCTTTGACTTAAAATTTTAGTTATTGTTTAAGGTACTTCAGAGGACCGTGGCAAGGCAAAGGTGTGATGATGCACGTCCTTCGGTTTTATGTTATTTGGATTTTGGGATACTCTGATTGCGGAAATACATTTTTGAAACAATGATTTGCAAACATTTATGGTTTTGGGTTATTTTTGAAAAGCTAAAATTTGTTGTGATTTTTGAGATATTATATTATTTTATCTTTTCAGTAATAATATTTTTATTATTATTATCACGTAATAATATTATATATACATATAGAACCATATCTGGTTCGCACAACGTATGTCATCAAGTATACATCTAATGCATATTCTAGACAATAAACACATAATTCACAGATAAACTGTCAAACAATATTTAGTATTTTTAATAAATACTTGTATTAAATCATGTTCATTAAAGTAAATATGCACTCACCTGATTGAGGTGGAAGATCCTCAGGAAAGCTAGCTCCTTAGTTAATGTTCCTGCTAGTCTGCTACCCCTTTTAAACATCCTAAATACGGATAGTACCATGCTTCAATATTTGTTCGTATTTATAAGCTTATAATTTATTTATGGATTCTTCAATAATCCCAAGAAATACTTCAAGTTTTATGAAATAAGGAACAACCAACTAAGATTATATTAGAAGTAGGATCCGTCTAGTATATATATAATATATATGCTATAATATATATATATATATATATATATATATATATATATATATATATATATATAGGTAAAAAAATGACTTTATAATGTGGTGATTATAATTATTTAAGAAAAAAAATATAATTATAAGAGATAGAGTTAAATTATAAAAAAAATGTATAAATAGATGGACCCCATCCTACAAAATTAAAAAATAACTAAAATCGATTCATTTACACATGAATCGAACGAAATGATTATGCCTATTCTTTATGCTAAATCTTACATTTTCACTTTCATAATAGATTTATATATATTTAAGGGAAATTAACTAAAGTAATCATTATAAATTAGCTTTTTAATAAAAGTAAGTATTTTTTTAGTTATTTTAAAAATAATCATTTTTTCTTGAATGCTTTAATTTGGATTTATTTTTGATTTTTTTTTTATTTTCAAAAAAAAAAGTTCAAACAAATTTCTCTAATTATGTCCGAAATATCTATTTTGAAGAGTTTAATAACATCATTTTTCAATCAAAAGTCTGATTTTAAGCTCTTATATCATATATATACTCTCCATTTACCATGTTTGTTTGACTTTTTGCTAGATTTTAGGACAAATATAAAGTTTTTTCTTGAAATTTTAGAATATATTCATCAGATTTGTTCTTAAAACTCTAGTGTTTTTTTTTTTGAAATCCGAAATTTTAGCCCAAAATCCAGAATTTCAGTCTATAATGTATTGTCGGGAAAAAAAAATTGTTGGTCCCAAATACCCAATTTTGTACTTGTTTTTCTTTTGGCTATTTCCTTTAAATTTACATTTTCTTTTTGAATGACAATCAAATATATTAGCACAAAAAAGGACTTAAGTGAGAAACTCAAGTCAAATACAAGAAAAGTTCGATAAAGGTGACACACCATAAAGACCAATCAATATTACAAAATTTGGACATGTTCTTAATCCAATTGAAAATGCTAATGCTAATATCATCCGTCAAAAGCATAACTAATTGTCTTTCATATTTATGAAGACAATTCCATTGCGCGCCTTCCAAATCATCCATAAAATAGAGTAAACAAATTTACATTATTAATTTAATTAATTTCCTTATATTTAATATCTATAAACAATTGTTTTTATACTTGGAAGAATGTGTGCGTGCGCATAACTTTACGTGCACATTAATTTCTTTTTAGCATATTTAGATCATATCTCGTTTTTTGCACACAAATTTAAAGTTCCATTTTAAAAACTGATTTGTAATTTGTTTTCTAATTTATGGGTTTCCATCGTCTTAATGACCAAGTTACCACAACTTTATAAATTTTCACCAATGGTCAATGTTTAACTTTTTTGATCGACAAAATTGCAAAAATGGTTCCTGTGGTTGGCAAATTTATGTGTTTTTGGTCCAAAACGAAACGTTGGTGCATCAGTGGTCAAATTTCAGATATTTTGTATGATTTTGGTCCCTATGGTTGGTATTTTGATGTATTTTGGTCCATACCTCACCTTAAATGACTAATATGCCCTTAAATATTTCATTTTAACTTATTTTATTTAACTTATTATTATTTTAACTAAAAGAAAAGGAAAAAGAAATCACTACCCTCACACCCACCTCCCATCCCACCCATCTCTCTCTCTCTCGGGTTAGGATTAAGGGGACATTGTGCATAGATTGTTTGAAATTTTTGAAGAGAGAATAAACGATTGTTTTTTGAAGAAGGAAGGTTGAATGAGGGTTTGTTAGCGTCAACTGAAGAACCCTAAAGCCGCCATCATCGACCACTCGAATTAGGAGGGGAATGTCAATCGTAGATCCATGAAATCGACTTCGTATCCTCTCAACTAGATCTGATTTATCCGGATTTTTATTTTGATTCAGAAATTTGCAGCGGCAGCTGGTGGCGACGTGCGACAGGAAGCTGCTTCGACGGTCTCTTGCTGCTTCGTTCCTGCTTCTGTTCGACGAAAGTGACGAGTTGGAGATGAAAGGGAAAGGATTTCGACAATAACAGTTATGGAGGATGGTGGCAGTGGGTTGTCGGGTTTCCTTCTTTCTCGTTTTTCCGGCAACCTTGGTGAGAGGAGGTGGTTGGAGGAACTGTGGATGGCGACTGGTGGTGTTTGAGGGTGCTTGGGGTGGTGTTTGATTAATCTAACTGTAGGGGATATAAGGTGGAGTTTGTGGTGGGTTATTGGTATGGTTCACGGTGGTCAAAAGCCACCGGTGGTGGTTTTTAGTAGTGCTCGATGGTTACAAAAATAACAACACCACAACTCCTTGGTGGTGCTTGTTCTCCGAAGTGAAGGAAGAAAGGTAAACAGAAAACGTGAAGGTTGGGTAGTATTTGGTGGTGATTATGGTCAATAGAGGGTGGTGCAAGGTGGTCTTATGGTGGGGTAAGGGGGTGGTGAAATGGTGGTGTTTCAGAACTGATGAATTTGGGTTGTAGATTCGTGAGGCTTTAGAGGGTTATGCCCTATATTTAACACCATTTCAAGAAGATGGAGGTCGTAAATGGTTACGAGGAGAAAAAGAAGAATTGATTAATTTTCTTTCATTCACTTGTATATGGCTTCAATTTGATCATGGAAGGAAAGTGCTTTCGCATGTTTCCTCATAACTCCATTTGACTTTCACAAGTCAAAGACGGAAGAGGAGGAGAGAGAGGAGAGAGAGAGAGAGAGAGAGAGGAGAGAGCGTGGAGAGAGAGAGAGAGGAGAGAGAGAGAGAGAGAGAGAGAGAATGTGTGTGTGTTTGTATTTTCAATTAGTTAAAAACATTAATATAAATAAAAAAATGGAAAAACAAACTATAAGGGCATAATGGTCTTTTTAAGTAGATAGGGACCAAAAACGATAGAAAGATCCAATTTTGGACCAGTGGTGCACCAACGATTCGTTTTGGACCAAAAACACAAAAATTTACCAACCACAGGGACCATTTTTGCAATTTTGTCTTTTTGATCTATTATAAACTAGGTGTAATACCCATGTATTACATGTGTTCATTTTAAAGAAAAAAAATATGAAATTCTAAACATTTGAGAACTTTGAATTTATAAGAAAAAAATAGAAAAATATTGAATTATTAAAATTAAATTGTTTGTTTTTCTTTTAAATTAAACAAATAATTTAGATAAATAAACAAAAGAAACTAATGAAACTTTAATTAAAATATCATGTAGAAACTAATAAAATGAAAAAAAAAACCATAAAATGCTATGTGGAAAAAAAATTAATTGAATATAATCACAAAATGACATGTGCCAAATCAATGAGAATGTGACATGTGACAAAAAAAAAATTTATTTATTAGGGAGGATTAATTAATTAATTAATGTAAAACTTAAACTCTATAAAACAAACTTAAGTCGGCGTGTTTATATATAATACACTTCTTCGACCTTAATATATTTAATTTATATAAAGAAAAGACTGGTACATTAATAATTGAGTGGGGTTCAAAGGGCCCCTCGATTGACCTTATAATTATTATTTCTAATTTTTACATCACCATCAACCCTTTATTGACTCTTTAAACCATCTACATTTGTTTTCTACCATAAACAAACCATGACTATTATAAATTACAAAAAGAACACCACACCCAAAAAAATGAGCAATTATGCACCAAAACCACTCACAATGGTCTCATATTTTTAGCATAAAACCGCTCATTCTTGCAAAGCATAATGTTCTTTTCACATTTTTACATAAATACTGGTTAGTTTACAATAATAACCACATTCAATGGTTCAAAATCATAAGAGAATCTATAATCCTCCAACTACTTAAACTCATGTACTTTTTACTCTTTTCCTCCATCTTCCTTGCTCCTTTTAAGTAAGCTTTCATCATTCCACCATTACCAACACCGATAAAAACAAGAAAAAACACCTCGGGGGCTATTTTCCATTGTTGTTTTTTGTGTTCCTTCACTAGATTCATTTGTTTTTTGAATTAATGTACTTGTGCCAGGGGAATCCGGTGAAAAAACAGCATTTTGAGAAGCAAAAATCCGAGGAGGAATACCCGTGGGCCCCGGTTCAGGTGGCAAATTGGCAGACAAATAATGATTTAGCATCTGAATTATTTGACTGAAATTTGGACGCGCATTTGGATCTTCCTTCCAACAAGACGTCACAATTAAAGCCAAATCCTCTGGGAGATCCTCAGCACTTGGCCTCACATTCTGTATAATAAAGAGTAAAAACAATATATAATTATATCTTCTTTATTTTCAGAACAAAAAAAAAATGAGTTAAATAAAAAAGATGTGTGTGTACCTTGAAAGCAGCAGCATAGGCTGCTTGGAGATTTGACATCCCCTCAAATGGTAACTTATTATGTATAAGCTCCCATAACACAATTGCAAAGCTGTAAGCATCAACTTTGTGGTTGTAATGTTTCTTCTCACCCTGCCTCAGTGTTACAGTGCTGTAAAGCTACAATCACATAACAGATATCCGTTTTTTAGAGAATCAATCTGTCGAGATTTGGCTAAAAGAACATGCTTATAAAAGAAGTCCAAGGCTTTGGTCACAAAACACCCCATTGTGGGGATTGGTTCGAGAAATTAGTCTATATAGTGAACTTTTCTCTCTGGAGTATTTCTCTAGTTTTGGAGTTGTCCACATATATACTTAGTGTTCTTATTTATCTATTATTCCCAACACAATCACGATATAGAAAACAACGAAAAGGTAGGATTTTTTTTTTTTTTTTTTTTTTTTTTTATAAAATCGAAACATTTGAAATATCACCTCTGGAGCCATCCACCGGTATGTTCCGGTTTCTGCAGTCATCATTTCCGTTAATGTTTCTTCTCTGGCCAAACCAAAGTCAGCAAGTTTTACCATTTTGTGGTCTGCTGTTAACAGCAAGTTTTCTGAAAATAACAAGAAATGAAAAATTTATGACATCTGCATTTGTTTTTATATAGGAACAAGTGAAGGGAAACTTACCTGGTTTTAAGTCGCGATGAATGATCCCATGTGAGTGTAAGCACTCCATTGCACGAGCTATATCAAGTGCAAAACCTATAGCAATTTTTCTATCCAACCCCTTTGGTCGCATATTCACCATGTATTTCCTTAATGTTCCACCAGTAAGAAGCTCAGTTACTACCACCATCACTGGTTCTTTACATGCTCCGATAAACTGTGATTACAAAAAAAATGGACATTTATATACGATTTTGATATTCAATATGCATTATGCAGTCTTTGTTTTGATCATATCAGCATACAGCATACAGCATACTACCTTTACTAAGTTCTTGTGTTGCACTTTAGATAACATTGCAACTTCTCTCACAAATCGGCCTTGGATTTTTGCAATGCTGTCAGGTGTATCGCCTTTGTTTACAATTTTAATTGCAACATTCATGTTTTTATACCTGGTAAAATTCAATAACAACAACGTCAGATGCCTCAAATTGAAGGACATGATATGCATCTTCTTAATTGATTGCCAGCTAACTGTGGTTTCTTCAATGAAAAGAAAATGAAGATGAAGTCGACTTACTTGCCCTCATAGACTTTGGCATGTGCACCCTCACCGATCTTTGGACCGACAAAAAGAAGTTTCGGATCAATTAACCACTTTGCTTCCAAATTAAACTCCTCATTAGTCGAGTAAAATCCGTTTCCAGATCCCATTGTATCTCCGAATTGTCGTACAGGATTTAACACAAAAGATATTTTCAAGACTGCATTTTGAAGTTAGACCCGCAAAAAAGGGATCAACTGCAACTATAGAAGTCTAGTGGAAAGACGATTGAGCTTCAATGTAGGAGAATCATACTCATACACAAGCCTAAGATCATATACAGAACTAGGGAATCTAAATGAGATTATAAGAAATTAAAAAAAACAAACACCAGAGACCTGATGCAGAGCTTTGTTCCGAGAATCAGAGTATATTAATGGCGACTTGAAGAGGTGAAAAGAGATTGAATGAGAGAAGAAGGTAGATGGGTGGTTGAAGTTAAGGGAGTATATTGAAGGTTTTAGGCATTATTTGGGGTTGATCGGCAGAGATTGAGGAAGGGAATTGGGAGTCTTTGTCAGACAAAATAGTTTGAATTATTTGAAGTCATTAAAAATAATTAGGTGAGAAAAGGGCAAAAGCGATGGCGTTAAACTGGGAAATTCTAGGCTATGTGACACGTGGTTCAAGATTTAATATACGTCGTCCCTTAAATTGATTGATATTTTGACGTCTATATATTTATGTGTGTCTACAAAATTTATTTTTATGAGATACTTATGAAAATATCTTTATTATTATATATATATATATATATATATATATATATATATATATATATATATATATATATTAAAGTGGCAGTAAAGTGGTAATTTTTTTTTTTTTTAATTTTGGTCTTTCAACTTACAATATTAAACCTTCATCTTTATGCTTTTGTTCACAAACAACCCTTTCACTTTTGTTTGAATTTTTCATAACCCTCACCTTTTATTACATATTATTAGTATTTAGTCTTTTAGCAGAAATGGTCCCTCATCATTATTATTATTGTTAGACAAAATTACACGATTGGTCCTTGTGGTTTACCAGATTTAACATTCTCTTTTTGGTTTTTAAATTAATGTTTTATTTATTAGAAAATACACACCCAATACCATAAACCCACCCACCATCTGCCATCACCACCACCGCCAAAATTACATAAATGGTCCATATGGTTTACCCATTGTGACAAATTCAGTCCCTACTACCTGAAAAGACCAAATTACCCTCACATTAACGGACAAAAAGCAACCAACATGCTACTTTACTTTACAAAACAATATCTTCCGACCCTAGCAACATCGGGGAATCTTTTCTAGTTATTATTAAGTATTGAAATAAATTTATTTCTTTTACTATTTATTAAAATCACCATCAACTCTAAACTATGGTGGTTTGGGATTACAGATTACGTGCCCTCCTCTAACACCTCTCTTTCTTTTTCCTTTGTCAGGTGACATCTTGGTTTTGCTTCCAACAATTTTTCTTTCATTTGCATCAAGTATTTACAAATAAATGTTAGCCTCTTAATTACTATACCTTTTCAACTACATGACATTTTTATGCCAATAGTTGAAATCTATAATTTTTACTTGTATAAAAGTCTTCCACACAAATAATAAAAGCTTTTGAAATATATAAAATTATATAAAATAACATATAAATATAAACTAAAATAGGAATATAATAATGATAAGTTAAATTTTCTAAGCTACAATTACTAAAAGTTAAAAGTAATCCAAATTTTTATTAGCAAATGTACCGGTTAAGCTTCTCAATTGGTAAAAATGTTTTTTTATGTATATGCATAAATGATGATTTTTTAAAAATAAAGTAAAAAAGACTTTTCAAAGCTAGTTGTTCGCTGAAAAACTAGTTGTTAGCTGAAAAACTAATTGTTAGCTGTAAGTTTATAACCTAGCTGATAAAAAATAGTGTTTTGTAAAAACTAACAGACTGGGAAGATATAAATGAAATAAAAATGACATTTAGAAAAAATATATTTTTTTATAATTAATTAAGAGTATATTTGAAAAAAATCATAAAAAACTAGTCTAAGATTGTGTTTGACATGCCACAGTTAGGTTATTTTTTGAATTTTTTTGTGTTGTCATGTTTGACAAACAAAAAAGTTACTTATAAGTTAGTTTTTAAAAAAACTATTAATACTAGCTTTTCATGAGTTTTATTTTAAAACTTTCGAAATATACCCTTAATTAAATATAAAAAATATATTCTTTTAACTTCGCTTTTATGTAATTTTCTATATTTCAACTAGCTTATCAACTAGTTTTTACTAAACACTATTTTTTATCAATTAGCTTATAATCTAGCGGTTAGCATTTCGACTAACAATTAGTTTTTCAGCTATCAATATGCTTTTTCAGATATCTGCTAGCTTAAAAGCTAGTATGTCAAACATAGTCTAAGTAGTTTTTTAAAAAAAAAAGTTATCTGATAAACTACTTTTTGACTTGCCAACTAGGGGTGTGCAAAAAAACCGAAACCAAACCAAAACCAAAAAAATCGAACCATTTGAAAATTTTTGATGGTTTGGTTTTTGCTTTTAGAAAAACTGATTTTTTAGGTTCAGTTTGGTTTTTCTATATCTAGAAACCGAAAAAACCAAACCGAACCAAAATACACTAAATGATGTCGTTCTATATATAAATATCACACCATTTTGTAAAGTAATTCATTGTAACATCTATATAATCCAAGCCAATTTAAAACTTTTTTAAATCATTTAAAAACCATTCTATTATTACAATTTGTTTCCAAAATAGTTTAAACATCAGAGTTCCCAGAAATCATAATCATCAATCGAGGAAGTGTACGATCACGCCTTCGCCTTTCCGTGGTCATCCACTGAACCTGAAATAATAAACTGAAACTGTAAGCTCTAAGGCTTAGTGAGTTACCCCCAAAATACCCATATACATCATAATACACATACAATAACAAACAACATACTATGGGTCCAATCATCCATCGGGATGGAATACCCCAAGCCCTCAACCATTGGGTTGGAATGCCAACATACTGATACACTTCACATAGCACATATACAATTAACAACATATACTGGGTCCACAACTTCACAGACTGGATTACCCCATGGCCCACAGTGTGAGTCTGGATTGCCTTCCGGGCCCACAGCTCACATCTGGATTGCCACCGAGCCCACAGTACGAGTCTCCCTCAGCTCGTATCTGGAATACTCCCGGGTTTGTTGGTTACCGCACGAAGCAGTATCACCTCAACCCATCTCACATAATATGTCGACATATAACACAACCAATGCACATACAGATAATCACATGATACTACAAGCAGTCCTACAGATCCACCTAACTGGCATAACTACTAGCATGCAGATAATCAGACCAACTATAGGTCACTAAGCATAACCACATCCGATCTACCACGATACCGATCTAACAGGTCATACTAGCATATAACCATCCTATCTGCTAGGATACTGAACTAACATATCACAACAGTAATAATCCCAATAACAAAACAAAGGGCTGGCCTTGGTGCCTTAGACCCTTGAGTATAGTGAGGATAACTCACCTCGCAACTCACGCGCTGAAGTGATAAGCTCCACTCTCGGATCATTGTCACAAACTCCACCACCTATATTCACCATAGAACAATACTCATAATTTCCAATTTCCCAAAATGCTCCCAGAAGTCAAATAGTCTACCCTTGGTCAAAGTCCAAGTCAAAGGTCAAGGTCAACAGTCCATGTTGACCTTAACTCGTCGAGTACAACCAACCACTCGTCGAGTTCCTTGCATAACTCGTCAACTCGCCGAGTCACATGAGTGACTCGTCGAGTTCCTAATGCTTGAGGCCGTAAACTCCTTGGCCAACCCGTCGAGTTTCCCTGCAACCCGTCGAGTTCATGTGTGCTAAAAGCCGGGAAAACCCTAACTGACTCGTCGAGTCACCCTACTGACTCGCCAAGTTCACGACAATCTTCATCGGACTCGCCGAGTTGACCATACAACTCGTCGAGTCCCTTTAGTCCTTCATCCATCCAGATGCTTTTTAAGCCATGAAAAGGTTCCATATTGCAAATACCATTCCCCAAGACATGTTCATCACATAAAGTTGCAAACTTTACGTGCATGCAAGGCTCTAAAGACTCTAAATGACAAATCCAAGCTTGAAATGGAGTTTTACACTTAAGGAGGGGTTCATACTTGCCAAAGCTGATAGCTTTGTGGACTTAGAGACCAGAGAGAGTTCAGATCTGAAGTTACAACCTCAGATCTTAGCTCATACCCAAGAATAGCTTCTTATTATGCTAGAAAAGCCCTAATCTTTAATCACATGAGATCTAGAAGGAAATGAGATCAAGGTAACGACTTGATACCTTCCAAGAGATGTCAACTGTGGTAGATATCAGATCCCTACACGTTCTTTGCTCCTAGCCACTTGCTCTCCAAGTTCTTCTTACAAAGATCTACCTCCCAAAGCTTGAAACACACAAGGATGAAGCACACACACAGATTAGGGTTTGCTGAACTCTCAAGAGGTTGTAAGGGGGTTGAAGGAGGCTTATGATCCTTTAAATAGGGTGCAAAACCCCGAAAATTAGGGTTTCATCCTCCAGCTCCTACTCGTCGAGTCCCTTCTTGGACTCGGCGAGTAGGTCACTTAAACACGTGGACCAACCCGCTGCTACTCGACGAGTCAGGGCAACCAACTCGTTGAGTAGACCTTGAAATCATGAAAATTAAAACCATAAAATAATACTTTGAGATTCGGGGCGTTACATTCATAGACTAATAAAAAATAATATTTTATGGTGTAAGTGAAACGCGTATATGATAAGAGAGGTTAGAGGGGTATCGATTGTGAGATTCAAAAATAAAGATTTTTTTGATACTATAAAATGAAGGAAAAATAGTTAACTCAACCATTTCACGATGATTATTTGCAATGAGAACGCATATAAAAAATAGGGACCATTTTTTTTATAGTAATTTCCATATTGTTTAAATGGACGAGACATATTGCATATTTGTATTGGAGTTTATATTAAATAAGTATGAGCTTTTAAAATCCAATGAACCAAGTCTAATAATTTATTAACTGAAAACTGGAAAAAAAAACCGAGAAACTGAAATATAAAATCAAAAAACCGAATAAACCGAAACAAAAAAAAAACTGACGGTTTGGTTTTTCTAAAATGAAAAACTGAAATTTTTGGTTCAGTTTTTGGTTTTAGAAAAAAACCGAACCATGCTCACCCCTAAATAACAACTTAAAAAAAAGTCAAAAATAAGTTAGCTTATAAATTAGTTGTGGTAAGCCAAACGATTACTTTGCGGATGATTGTGTCTACCAGCCATGCGATTTCAAAAGAATGTTTCATTTGCGGAAAAGTATTTTTGTTCGGATAGCCAACGCGTTGGAAAGCAGGTATTGTTTCTTTAAAATATAGCTTTTACATCATTTAAATACATTGTTTCTTTCAAATATAGCTATTACATATTAAATATACGTTTAGGTATGAAATTTTCCAAATGAGATATGATGCTAGAG